ATATAATCTCTTGTGAGACCAAAATGAGCCATCTTAGAAATAAGACCAAAATGCCTTCATCCAAAAACTAATGCCTAAGAATCCTCCTTTTAGGAATAGGCCAATAGTTACTCAAACAAGTCAGTCCAGATTCCAGAAACTAGGAAGTATAAAAGTACAGAGTCACAAGGTAGTCACGAGGTAATGCCTGCCAGACTATGGAATGTCCTCTCCCTGGTTTCCAGGGTAACTGACCATAAAAATGCCCCCACCTGAGGGCAGCCAATGAGAAATGGTGGCAGGCAACCACCCCCTTAGAAGTAATTTCTAGAAGCCCCTAGAAGCGAGCCAATCAGAATTGTACCCATACTAGCACCCCTAAATGATGTAACCTTGTGATTTTTCCCTTTAAACACTGAGTTTGCGGACAGGCGGGCACTTCCTCCAGCCTCCACTGCGTTGGATGTATTGGACGAAGTCCCTGCCTAGGCTTGTATTGCTTTTGGATATCCAGAATTAAACCTTGCTTTTGCATTCCGGCATGCTCGTTTTTGGTGGTCTCTCTGGGGGTCACGATCTGGGCACAACACTCTAAATTATGTCATAGTAACTCTATTAGGATTTCTCCTAATAACCAGAATCTACTTGTATATATTCTCAGTTTTCTCCACTTAGAACAGGCATTCATATGAAAAACAATGAATAAAATTGAGGTTATTAATTTGAGAGAGAGCAAGGACAGGCACATGGGAAGAGCTGGAGGTAGGAAAGGAATGGGTAAAATGAGGTAATTATACATATTTTTTTGCTTTTTATATAAATTTTTTTCACAGTAAGTTCTAATCAGGGATTTGTTAAACCTGAGAATCATGGGAGAAAAACTTGTTCCACAATTTTTGAGTCAAATTTGAAGCAAGCTTTAATTAAATACTGGTCAGGATGATGATCTCTGGCCAGGACCAGGGTTGCCAGAAAAATAGTGATGAATTACATTTTGCAGAGGCTTAAAAAAGCAAACACATAAGACCATTTTATTTCCAACCAGGTCCGATCTGGGGCAAACACATATCTTGCCATCAGGGGCAAGCGTACATCCATCCTGATATATTTCCTGTCTATGACTTCCCACCTACAAGTGATCAAGCACATCAGGTGCAGTTGAGTCAAACAAAGGTGTGTGGGTGTGGCTTGTTATCTCCCATAAACAATAGCCTCCAGCGTTTCAGGAAGCATCTGTCCTTGGGGCAAGGGTCATTTAGAGGCATTTTTGCTTGAAGGATCACTTAGGCATGGTAATTAAACTTAAAACATAACAAAACATAATGTTGGCTCTCATAGTCTTCTCTCTAGCAACTCCTCACAGATTCTTCCCACCTACCATCCACCCAAATCCATGCTTGCTCTCTTTCTCTCTCTCTCCCTCTTACTCCACCTCCTTTCTCCTTCAAGCAAACAAACAAATAACATTAGAATATAGAATAATAACATGTTCCTGCCCTGTTTGAGTTCTTGTCCTAATTACTTTCAATGATCAACTACGATGTGGACATGTACGCCAAATAAACCCTTTCTTCCCCAACCTGCTTTTCAGTATGGTATTCCATCATAGCATTAGTAACCCTAATTAAGACAGACCCCATCTAGCTTGAAACTGATCCTGCTCTTGCAATCTCTGTGAGTTCATATATGTATCTGTCCTGCTGTATCTGGAAGACACTGTGTCGTTGGCCTCATCTTTCCCTCTGGCTCTTAGAGTCTTTCTGCCTCCTGTTCACTGAAGATCTGATGGGAGCCCTTTGAGCCCTGAGGGAAGGGCTTGATGAAGACATCCCATTTAGGACTGAGTGTTCCCAAATACTCAGTCTTTGCACCTTGACTGCTTGGGGGGCAGTGAACCTTAGACTGAATAGGCCACAGGCCTAGGGGAAAAGCAAATACTCTTGTTCTGCTAAAAGAACATAGCAATAAAATGACAGCTAATGGCATTCTGCTGTAACAAAAGATCAAAGTCTTGCTCAGTCATCATCAAGAAGCTTCCTCTTACAGTAGATTGGGACTAACACAGACCCACAAGTGAACAATGTGCAGAAGCAATTACATTTTAATTTCATGTGTCTGTCTGTCTGTCTGTCTGCCTGTGTGAGTGTGTGTGTGTGCCTGTGTGTATATCTGTGTGTTTGTGTGTATTTGTGTCTCTGTGTGTTTTTGTTGTTTGACTTTTTCTTTTCTAGAGAGACAGAGAGAAAGGTCATAGAATTGAGTGGGTGGTGAAGTAGAAAAGACCTGGGAGGAGTAGGGAGCAGGGAAATTATGATTAGAATATATTGCATATAAAAATATACATATTAAACTATTTTGAAAAAAAAGGAAGCCAGGAATTTTGACCTATCCCCATAGGTGACTTTTGAAAACAGCCCATGATAAAGATCTGGCTCTTCTTTCAAAGAGATCCTTTGTGTGTACTATATACAAGAGGTTCCTGCTCGAGTTACAGAGGCAGGAAGACTGTCTCCTCAGGCCTTGCAGCTGATAGCACATCATTACACTCTGTGCAGAAATGTTTATCATATTTCCATCATGGGATTAACTGAATAGAAAAACACCTAAGATACGAAATTACTATCTTAGTTTCTCTAGATATGTTTTGAGATGTTCCTGTGTGGAGAAGGAGTTGTGATCCTACCTTCAAGGAGAACCAACCTTGGCACTTCTGAATCTAGCATATGAAAATGAATAGCCTCCAATTCACTTGTTAATGATCTGAGACTTGGAGACCACCCAAGGAAGGCTGGGTGCCAGTTGTAAGGAACAAGAGTGTTTAGGTATATGTAGGAGCCTTTTTCAGTAATTCTACAAGTCCCTGACTGTGAAAAGACTCTAAGAAATTACAGGCTGCTTCCAGTGTCTCAGAGCTAAGGTATAGTATGTCTGCTCTGGGGGGCTGAAAATCTGACAGAGGCTGCTATGTCAAGATTTGTCTTTTATTTTCCAAACCATTGTTCTAAGTATCACTTTCATGTTCATTGGCAATATTCCATATCCATTCTTCCTACCCTATGTTGTCCCCCAACCCTAATCTTGTTGCCCTGATCAATACATTATTCATTCTTCAACATCCAGCATGCATGTGACCACCTCTGTAAGAACATCCTTCAGTAGCTCAGAGTTTATTGTGACCTTCCTGCATGTTGGATTGCACAGTGGGTAAGGTCCTATGCCACTCATCAGGCATTTTTATGTTTGTTGAACTTTCAAAGATTTTTCACACAGAAATGCCAATGTGTAAGGAAGAGAACATTGAGTTATATATTGTTTAGAGTCTAGAGTATCCTCTCTTTTTTTGAGTATTGCTTGCTAATCTAATTACTGGGCACAGCCATATCTGAATGGAATGGCAGAAGTCATAAAGCCAGCATAGCTGCTTGAAAAAGATCCAACAAAGCTGAGCCACTTGATGGCTGCCATGCCATTTCTAGTTTTCATCTCCACCTATTGCATACTTAAGGTACTTTTAATATTTGTACAATTTGGGGATATTGGATTGATGGAAAATCCCTTATGAATTATTTATGCTTTCTCCCAGGAATGCTGCTTCTAAGTTTCCCCAGGAAAGTCCTGAACATACAATTCCCTCAATTTTAGGGAGATATCCTTATCTACTTGAAGGTCTTCCTTAGGCCTTGGACGTTGTGACACATAAAGAAGCCAGAGGTCTCTTCATGAGGCTATCAGACATTCTTGAAACATTTGTCCCTGTGTACTTACACAGGAACAAGATAGTCAAAACAAAGTAAACTTTAAAAGGTCAACAAGATTTGGTGGGCTAAAGGAGTTGGCCACAGATCAGATTATAAGCTTCTTCCCACTGCACACTTAGACAATTATGTGGCATACAACTCTGTCCTACATAGAGACATATTAATGAGCAAAGTATGGAATGGAAAGATGATAAAAGAATGAGATGTCAGGACCTCCCTCTCTTATAAAAGTTAACTCATGCAGAGCCACTATAATGTCATATGACCAAGGAACAGCAGAATGTCAGGATTAGACATATAGACAAATTCTATAAAGATATAAATGTGAACATGTCAGAATTTAAATAATATGTCAGAATTTAAATAATAACTGCAGCAGCTTTAGCCTGAGGATTTTTCCTGGGCACTCTGACAACTAAGAGTTAATAATACACTGCTCGAGACATGGCAAAATGCTCAGGGTGGCTTGAAGATTTTTTGTTTTGGTCTAGTGTCCTTGAAGCAACTAAAGCTACCAGACTGAGAACAGGCTGTCATATGCCTCTAGAGTCTTAAAATTGGGTTGTTATGGAGTTAATGAGCAAGAATGATAACTCCATTTGTTAATGATGTCAAAACTTGAGGGAAAATGATTGGAAATGATAAGTCTGTTTTGTCACAGTTTATTAATGATGACTAAAAGATAAGCAAAAGGAAGTGAAACACATGTCCAAAAACAAAAAATGATATGATCTATCTTTTAGAACATCATGAATGTACCCCTGCTTACTAAATTAGGTATAAATAAAGAAGCACTCTGGCTGCTAGTCGGTCAGGTTGCAAGATTTTCCTGACCACAGTGGCCTGGCCCACTTCCTTCCCCACTGACTCCTTACACTCTCTCCTGGGACCTGTTCACCTCCAGTGATGGCTCCTGGCAACTACCAGAATAATTGCTGGAATGCTTGAAGAATGTAGCTTTATAGACAAGTATGAAAGAGAGAGACAAATAGCATAGCATGAAAGATAACATATTGTAACTTGAATTGAATAATAAAGACAAGGGCTAGCAAGCAAATTGCTAGTCAAATCGAGTATGGGGACTGAAACAGGCCTCATCATGGGAGACCACACCTACTGTGGAGAGAGGCAGCATGAGCCAAAATGCCTGGGCTCTATGCCGCTCTACAAATCTATGACTCGCCTGCAAACGGGAAGGGTAATGACTTGTACACAATAAATAGATCAATAAAAATAAAAGCACATTGAATATAAATAACTTACTGTGTTGACAATGAATCCCATTAAACCCCCGGGGACATTTACACACATAGCCTATGAATGTGTCTCCTCGATACGCTTCGCTTATCTCACAGGTTCCTCCGTTGTGGCATGGGTTGGGGACACAGGGACCTGCAAGATAGGAAAAAAGGCTTCAGGATGCATGGGCTTAATACAAGATATCATACCAGCATGTTCAGTGGACAATTTTCTCCTTGATAGTCTATAGAAAAAGCACCAGGTGTGTGAACTCAGATGAGTGGCCTGAATTTAAATATAAGTGCCATTACCTTTAGCTATGCGATCTGGAGAAATTATTTAATTTTTCTGTTGCCTTGGTGTGGTCTTTTGACAAATATTAATATAATGAAATTAGCTTTAATGGTTACACTACAGTTGAAAAGAGTTCATATATTAAAATATGCAGAAGAGTACCAGCCACACATTATGCATTCAAAAATAGTGTTAATTCAATTATTATTATCAGAATTTCTGAATTATGGAATACCTTTTGCATGTTGAACAATTAATACTGAATCACAGTTTCTAAAGAGCTTTTGACCTTGCTGATGCAAAAATTATCTGAATCTACCAATATAGAGGCAGTCAAGTCCACAGACGCTTGCAGCGATTTATTGAATTTTCATAAATTGAGAGGAGAATGGCTTAAGAGAAACTTCGCAGTTTGTCCTAAACACAGTAGCTCACAGAGAGTTGCATGTTTGAATAAGTAGCTATGATAATCATTTTGTAGAATTTGAGAACATAAGTTGAACAAAGATTTAAAACAGTTGCATAAAACAGAGCTATTTTGAGATTTCCCTGGGCAAAACCAGCTGTTACCAGTGTAGATTAGCTGGCAGCATCCAGCTACTGCTCCATAGGATCTGCTGCAACAACGCTCACTCCAGGTCACACTCCTGAGGCAATGACAGAGCAAGATGTGGTATCAAACTGGGCCAGGCCCACCTGGCACAGGACTCTTCAAGTGTATATTCTGTACTCAGGAATGCGCCACTGGTCCAAGTGAGGTTTTTTTTTGACAACACTGTCAGTCTGAAGCTTTTTGTAGGACATGCTTTCTTTCCTTCATTGTTTCTTCTTCCAGAAGTGACAGATGGTGTCACAGTCTGAAGGCCTCTGCTAAACACTCATGCTCTCCCGATCCCCTCTGAATGAATGAGCATTCAGCACAACACTCTCCATTACATTCAGCTTCTGGGAGGACGGGCCGACTGAGTGAAGGCAGACCTGAATCTAGACAAAGTACAGATTCTGGAGAAGAATCTAGGAAAATCACAAAAAACTTTTCCCTGGAAGACGAAACAAGATGAAAAAACAAAAATAATGTATAAAGATTGGAATGTAAGACCATTGCCTTGTCCTACACGTAGATAAAATTGATGCCAGGGAGTGGGCCATTGAAAGTCTCTCTGCAGAACAGTGGGTGCACGGGAGTCAAGATGGGATGGTACATTCACTCACACTTACTATTTTTGGAAAAGTGGAAGAGACAAGAAGGTGAGAGCAGGTAAGTGAAAAATGAGTGTTACTAGATGGAAGAACTAATGGAAGCTGGTGGAGACCAATTGGGAAGAACTTGTGTTTTAAAGGACACACAACAGAGCAATTCGTGAGGAAAAACTAATTGCAAAGAAAGTTATATGCTGGTGTTAGAAAATGAATGTCGGGATAATGAAACTAAATGCCTAATAAGTCACGAGGAAGCTCAGAGAAGAGCAAGAACTTTCAGCTGAGACAAGAAGGAATGCAGCGCATTGGATACAACAACCCTGAAGATTTGCTGCAACTCATAGAAGCCCCATCAGACAAGGCTGGTGAAGGGACGCTAGCCCAGTAGAACACGTAGCTCTGCCAGGCCTTACCCTTCTCTCCCATTCACTCTGTCTTGCTAAAAACCCTTAGATTATATTCCTAAAGCTAGCCACCAAAGTTTATTCCCTTATTTGGCCACTTCCTCCTCCTGTGGCTAACCACCAAGGTCCAGCTATTCAAAGTATTGAAGTTCAGCAATCAAAGCCCCCTTTGGATCACCTAATTAACATGCCCAGTTAAAATTGAACACCTCATCCTAACACAGGGTTTCCCCCTTTACCTTTATAAACCACCATTTTCCTATGGGCCACATGTGTCTGCCCTCTATTCAGAGGCACAAATTTCCTAGCCTCCTTTCCCTTGTTCCCTTCCCCTTCTCCCTCATCAACTGTTTCCTGTGTTTGTCTCTTATTCCCTGCCCTCTGTCCTTCTGGGGCAAATGAATCTTTATGCTGAGAACATGGCCTTTGGGATCCTGAGCCAATACTTTTCCTTTCAGTTGGTAACAGGGCTCAATGGAAAGTATAGACCTTAGGGAAAGAGAAAGTTCACCATCTTCATTCAGAGCAGCCCACTGCACGTTAGAATTTGAGCATGGTTTGACACTGGGTAACATGATTCTGTGTTAGGAAAAGTGATTACAATTTGATTCTTTCCTCCAGAAACTTCATAGGACAAAACACACTCCATTTCTTTCATTTTAATATTGTATGGAATCTATAAAGATTTGCCTGGAATAGTTTATAGGCACTCTATAGTGCCTAGACCCATACTTCCTATTCAATATATTTCTTAGAAATTGAAAAGGAATTGTGAAAGTTGTATTTTTAACTACAAATATCTGTATCCTCATATCCTTCATGAAAGATACCTAGATATCTAATCTACAACGTAAGGAAATCAGTAATACTGTATTATAGTGGGGACTTTCATTAAGAAGATTTAAGCTGGCTCTCATTATCCAAAATTAATTATATAAAATGGTAACACTTCATTAGCTATGTGTTTCATATAGTATCATTTTGCAAATATCAAGTATATGCTAAAATTTTTAAACAATGCATTTTTTGAAGTTCATTCACGTGTAGTGTTTGTGTAGTGTTTATGAATCATATTGTCTAGTACCTTTCCCTAAGGTAGCATACTGTTTGTGTCTGACAGAAGGAAGGAACTGTAAGACCTGTGACATGGGTTAGAGCAATTGAAAGAATTTTCTGTCATTGCTAAGCATCATGTTAAAAAATCCAGCTCTCCCTCTCTTCTGTTTCTTCTGTTCCCTCTTCAAAAATTATCTAATAATGTATCATGATGTAATTTATATAAAAATCTCATCTACTCCTCACAGCAAATCAGTGAGGTTCTTGTTCTCTTATACAGTGCTGAGTATCAGTGTGCTGGGGTTTAAAGTGGAAAGCTACAGGAAGTTGATACTCTTTAGCAGATCAATATCTTCCAGTGATGCATTTAGACCTCAAATCCAGAATCTGTGATTCTAGGAGAAGAGGATCAAACAAAAGTGACACTGAGCATTTTCATGCATCAATTATCTTTCAAATAAGAAAACAGCAAAAACACCTTTCAAGTAACTGGCAACCTATAGTCATATACATTACATAAGAATATATAAAATATACGCAAATGGTTATATAATTCTGAACAAACAGGGAGATATGAAAATCATCTAACCCAACATCATAATTTATCATGTAAGGAAACATAGCCAAATCAGAATTTAGTAAAATCTGAAAAATACCATGTATGAAGAAAATTGGATTTAAGGAATTATACCTGGGAGAAAAAAAATAGTTATTGAAACCAAAAGTGATGAAGCTATTCTTGCTTCCTCGAGAGAGTGGAGTAATTATAGCAGAGAGAATAAAAACCTTCCCACATTCACTTTGGTTTAAGAAACTACAGGGGATTTGATAAAAGATCTGAATGTAAGACCTTTGCTTGGTCTTGCTAGGAGATAAAACTGAGGCCAAGCAGAAGGTCATTTAAAGTCTCTCTGAAGAACAATGGTGCAGAGGAGCCTGGATGAGATGGTCCACCTGTGCATACTTATCTTTGGAAAATTAGACTATGCAAGACATTGAGATCAGATAGTTAGTGCACAGGGAAGAACAGGGGAAAGATGGGTGAGAGCAATGGGGAGGAGTCCAAACCAAAGCCCAACGGACAGTCCCCATGGGGAGAGGGGCAGACAGAGTCCTGGGTGGTTTCATTCATGAAGAAAAGTGTCTAATAAGAAATAGTGATGTCCATATTTCAGACTGAAGTCATTTAACAGATCCTGTGTGAATCATGTTATAAGAGATCTCGCTCTCCACCAATGTCAGCTAGTTAGAGGAGTCTGTGGAGTGTGTCTGAGAGAGCCAATGGGAAAGTCTGTGGTATTTTACAACATTCAGAAGGGAAGGGAGAAGTGTTGCTGGGGATGGTATCCAGTGGATTCCAGTTAATACAGAACCCTGAAGATAGGGTTGACTGAGGGACCCTAAGTCCTAAACTCCCTGGGGAAAAGATAATGTCTGTACAGTAATCCCTGGTTCATTCAGTCTCTGGATTCTCTGCAGATGTGAGTTTGTGAGTTGAAGCTCTTGTATTTGCATCCTAAGGGGGATCATGACCTCAGCGGACATCAGGGTTTTAGGAAAGGATTACCATTACTGCAGGTGTTTTTCTCACTCTATAAAATCCAGTGTGTTTTAATTAAAGAGCAAAGGTGAAGTAAATCAAATGGGATTTGGATTTTCTTTTATAGAGTCTTTTAAGTTCTTATTTTTCTTTATATTGAAAGAATATATCCTCGATGGGGGAGGGGAAACAGGCACAGAGAGGTTAAGTGGCATATCGAATCAGAAAGTGAAGCTTTTATCACAGGTTGCCTGACTACTAAGTTTACAATCGTCCTAGCAAGCCATGCTTACTCCAAAGTTGTCAAGGTATGCACTAATGTTAGTTATGACAGATGTAAACAGTCCGTATGGATTCACTGAGCATATTTCTATAAATAATGCAGCATTCCAAAGCCTCCAGTAATGTAAGCATCTCAGAGTATTTTCAGCAATTGAATCAGAGTATATTTGATATTACATATGTAGATAGAAAGGCTCTCCTATGGTGATTTATCTCATTATTATAATCTTTGAATTCAATTTCACCAATGCAATTTTATCATAATTATATGTAAGCCTAATTCCATATAGTCTCTATATTTGTTTTATATGTCTATTTATATCTATGTCTCTCTGTGTGTGCATGTTTGTGTGTGTGCACATGAGTGTTTAAGTGTG